AAATTCTGTGAACAAAATGACTTAAGTTGATAGAGTGCAAAAGTTGTGCAATTTGTTTAAAAGTTAGTTAAATAGGTCTAAAGTTTCGAGTTTGGAACAATGAGGAAAATGGCGTGGATTTTCATTAGACTGTCGTCAAGGGTTGGATCGAGCTACAAAAATTATATCGCTAGACTGTCGCTTCTCCTTCACTCGAGCGACAGCTTAAATCGAGAAATTTTTATTTAGCGTTTTAAAGGCTTTTTCCTGACCCATTCCTTTTTTCTAACCTACCTATAAATACTAAAATACTTCTGTACGAAAATTTGAAGGTTGAATATTGAGAGAGCTACATCTGTAAGAGATTGATTCGATTCTTCCTTCAACCTTCATCTTGTGAGTTTGTTTTGGAGAGAAAAACGTCAGTTCAATATTCCAAATATCAAACTGATGTTCCTCTACATCTGATCAGAGTTCTGAAGATAGAGAAAGTTCGACCGGAGTTCCAGTCAGTAAAGAACGGGTTGTTCTTCGTAATTCACAGGAGATATGCGATTTTACCAAGCTAGGGGCTGCTGCAAGATAGTGGAGTTCCAGGAGAGCGTTGGTTATTGCAGCTGGAATTGGTGCAGAGGAGCACAAAATTCAGGAGAGCTGTCAGAATTGCAGTCAGGAGATCAGATAGTTCGTGTCGTCGTCTAGTTTGGTAGACTATAAGTACAGAATCGTTTATAGTGGATTGACTGGCGAAGTGCCCGGAGTTTTTCCCAGTTGGATTTCTCCGTGATCATTCTGGTGTTGATTACTACTTTCACTATATTGATTGATTATACAACTGCGGTATTCAAACTTAGGACTAACGTTCGACCCTAACAATATCTAGAAAAGAATTAAAAAGTGACTTGTTGTTGTTTAATTCGTAATATACTTTTAATTCTGCATAAAATACATATTCATCCTCTCTAGGTATTGTTAGGGTCGAACTTGTGTTTTTCAATTGGTATCATAGCCTTACATCGATTCCTAACCCTTATTTTTTAAGTCTAGATGAATCAGTCTTTGTCTGTGTCTTCATTTTTCGATGGAAGCAATTATACCTACTGAAAAGCTCAAATGAGAGCGTTCCTTAAATTTTTGGATGAACGTATTGGATTAGCGTTTAAAATGGGTGGGCTCCACCTTCAACAACCGTTGCTGGTGTAGTCACACTCACTGACATATCTCTGTGGACTAAAACTAATTTTGATGAATGCAACTGGAATAGTAAAACATTACATGCCCTGTTTATGGTTGTATCTGCTGAAGAGTTTAGGTGAGTGTCAATGTGTGAAACTGCTAAAGAAGTTTGGGATATTCTAGAAACCACACACGAGGGTATCAAAACCATTAAGAATTCTAAACTATAGATGTTAACCACTAAGTTTGAAGAGATTAGAATGAAGGACGATGAATTGTTCGATGAATTCTATGCAAAGCTGAATGATATAGTTAACCCTGGCTTTAACTTAGGTGAAAGGATCCCCGAGACCAAAATTGTTAGAAAAGTTCTTAGATCCCTACCTGGGAGGTTCAGACCTAAGGCGACTATGATAGAAAAAAGTAAGGACTTAGATGCTGTTAAGATTGGAAAACTCGTAGGATCACTTCAAACTTATGAACTCGCTGTTTCTCAACCTAAAAATGTTAAATCTATTGTCATGAACACCATTAGAAAAGAGGAGAGCGAGTCCACTGATACTGAAATCCTTAGGGATGACGAAATTGCTTATTTCGTTAAAAAAATTCTAGAAGGTGATGAGAAATAGAAGAATGCCTCATGAGCGAAATAGTGAAGTCCCTAGTAAATTCTCGAGAGGTAGGCGTGAGAATAACACCTCTAGGACTCTCGTTAAGAAATCTCAATCTGTCCAATG